ATTTAAAGCATACATTATTCGGTTGGGTTTTGGAGGTGTGGTTACAGCATTGTGCTTGGTTGGCGTGGCCCGGGCCTGGTGGTGGGGCCCAATGTGATATATTTTCATGGGGCCCAAAATCCCTGGCGGTGCCCCTGGTGTTGTGACTAGTCGGACAATCTGGAATATTATCCCCACGAGTCAGTAAGTTATCTTTGGGCCACAATTGGAGCTATGTTTTTTTAGTAGATTTTTTAAATGAGCCCTTGTTTATTTCACATTACCTACATTTATACTATTCACACTTTTTGGGTAATTATGGGAGACACAAGAAGAAAGATCCTGGTAGCGCAGTTTCTGTTAGCTCATTATAAGTTTGAATGTCTGCTTGGAGCTACAGAGTCTGCCTGAAGTAATAATTGCAACGTTACTGCATTCAGCTGCAATGTGCACAGGGACCGAGAACAAGGAAGCTAACAGACGTGTTTGCGGACGTCAGCAGCCGAGACGTACATTGCACACGAGGGACAAAGCCAGTATGGAAACTACAAATGTCTGAGGAGTACAATTTCAGATACAACATCTGTGCTGCTTTTTTACTTTTGCTATTTCCTTTACGAAACACCTAGCATCCGAAACTTGTGTGGATGGTGTCAGTTTTCGACATTTAGAATATACCTTTTATTTACCATTTAAATACTCTTATGTACTACTTTAAGGGTTTGCACAGTTTATAAATCATAAGATTTATTTTTTAAATCTTTATCTTTTAAATATAATCACATGTTAAAAAGTATTTTCATATACTTTTACACCCATCGACACAAAGAGAATATGTTGATGACATTAAAGTTATTAACATTGTTTTAGCAAACACACACTGGTGTTGAAACAGCAGGTCAAAAATAACCTGGAGAACTTTCCCAACAGCTGCTGTCCAAATTAAAATATGTGGCAGCTTGATGCACATTGATTTATGACTGAATATAAATAATACAGGCCCTTTATGTTGCATGTGTCCGAAATGACTGTGTTGAAATATATTATTATTTCAAAGAAAAAGAAAAAAAACATACTTTAATGTAAAAAATAAACTCATGTGTCATATTCTCCAACTCGTTCAGCGGACACAGGTAGGACACACAGAGGTAAATGACTGTTGTTGTCAGCTATAAGCAGTTCACTCCTGAGAATTGAGGTTTGCCGGAGGAAGAGCCTTTAGGGTCTCTACAGCCACTCACACATTACTGATTCACTCCTTCCCCCAACATCAACACACAGTCTAATAAGTGCTGCTCAGTGAACTGGTGTAACAGCCTCCCGCAGGTCTCTACTGGGAATCCAAAAGTGAAGAAAAGACAGGACTAACTGGGAAACAGGTTCAGGGGCTTGTGAGCGCATGATTAGATTTACATTTTCTTTGAAATGCGGGTACTGCAATATGCTATGTTGATAAAACATGTGCTGGGTTTTTCTAAAAAACTCTACAGCAGCAGATGGGGGCAAGGTTGAAAATTGAAGTAGGGCTATGAAAGCAGTGAGTCACACTTCAGATCACCTTTAAACTGTTTACACAAGATAGCAGTCTTTTTTCTGTTTGGATGAATAGTCCATGTTGCTGACCCAATTATTGTACAAATAAGGGCATTTTCACCAAGTATGTTTGGAGCCTGAAGTGACTCTCCTGTTCAAACATGTCTTCCTCCTTCGCTGACAATATTTATCCCATTAGCACGAAAGTGGATGAAAAGATACTGAGTCAATTCAAACCACCTATTAATTCTATTTTTCTTCTAAATATCTGGAGAATGACAAATTGTTTCATGTGGTTTGTTCTTTAAGACACAGCATTTTGTAAGCCTCTCCAAAATTATACTCTGAGGCACAAATCATGTAAGTATAATAATACAGTATACACAAGTATTAAAGGCCAGTGTTGTAAAGAGAAATATCAAATCTGTTTGGCATACAAAAAGCTGGTTTAGTTTTTGTGTCTTGTGTAGTGGTAGTGGTGCTGAACGGAAAGCGATATTGTATTTCTTGCCATTTTGTTTACTGCCTCAATGCTCAGTGTGCCGTGATAAAGTACATGCTATTTGAAAATAAATTGTATTCCCCTTACAGTATGAGACCAACAACGTGCTTTCATACCGATACAATCATATATGGTAGTATCTTTATAGGAGTGTTATCATTACAGTTGCTACATCTTACAAGATAATCTCATACTTTGCTGACAGTAGTTTGATATCTGGACTCTGTCCATTAGCCAGATTGCACAGATATAAAAAATACAATGGAGGTTAAAGTCTATAGAAACTGGATCCTCCTTTAAACTCTTATTGGCAGCTCCACACAAGTGCTCAGTTTGTGTTTCAGGTTGTATAGGTTGCACTGTAACTACCCGCCGTCTGAAACCTGATCCTGTGTTTGTTTGACATCCGTCCCAGTGTATATGGTGAGCGATCTGCTGTATGAGCGCTGACGACACCCTCGCTAAGCTGCGACAACAATGCCGCGATCCTGGAAACATTTTTGGGTCAAGCCTTGTGGAACATCTCTCTGTCATGCTTGATTTGAAATCTATTTGGGATTCAGTTTTCCCTTTCATGTCCTTTTCATGTGAGAGGATTGATCCAGAAATCGACTCTCATTAGACCAAAACAGCATGTTTGGCTCTGTTATAAATAAGAGCTGACACTCACTACAGTTTGCGGCTATTAACATACAAAACATGTCGTGTATAACCCCAAATCCCACAGACGCTAAGCCATGATTTAAGCCGTCCTGGAAGCAGCCCAACCACTCTCACAGTGAGGCGTAAAGAGCTTAGGATGGGAGGGATAGATGTGTCTCCCCCCAGCCTCTCGTTGTCTGTCCAAGCTGAAATATGAGGTTGTAACTCACTTGTCTTGAAAACAAAAAGGAATAAGCTGACACATAAGGGAAACTGACACAAAAATGTGATACAAGGAAATGGATGTTTTTCCTAAAATAGGATAAAAATGGTCTGATGTCTATCGATGAGCGGACAGGCGTTTGATTGGAGCAGAAGCGATGAGTCACCCAGCTTCTCAGAGAGGAGGGGTTCCCACTGAGAGATGGAGAGAGAAGACGCCCTGCCCTTACAATGGAAATTCCTGTTATGTGTGAAAATGTAAATCATGTTGTGCATCTGGGAAGCTGTAGCAGCTGCACATATTTGTAACTGAAGAGGGGATGCATGAGGTGTGAGCCCAGCAGCAGGTGGAGAATATGGTTTCAGACATAATCATGTATTCAAATTGTGTTCAAATTCTCCAATCAGACATGATTTGGTTGTAATAAATTGAGCGCTGAACTTAAAGTGCACTCTCAAAGTTAGAGCTTGTCGTGTGGCCAGTTTGCAATATCTTCAATCCTCGACATATATAAATGTTCTCTAAGTGGCCATTTTAATTAATTAAACTGAACTTGAAGTGCCAGCTGCAGAAATCAAGAGCTACCTCATTTGAACCTCCTTTATGTCTGCTTTTCCTGTGAGTGACTTTGATGAGTTTTGAAGACTCTGTCAGCTCCAACAAAGCAGCGGCTGCCGGGTCATTGTGGGGCTAATGATTGTTAATGAAATCTGGGGAGCCAAATTCGTGACTTATCATCATACTGCTAATAAAATTGGAATTTTTGGGACAGGGACGGATGTTATCGCAAGTCTCCTTTCCACAGTTTGTCCTGCTGTCTGAGTTTGAGGCTGCTCCACAAAACTAATTATACTCAACCGATTGTTTGTGCCAAATGAGATCCTGCTGAATATGTACAGTTGCTGCCAAACATAGAGAAGTTCCAAATTAGAAACTCCTTCTCCCACTGCCCATGGGGGATATCATTATCACACCTGGTACTTACTCGTGTCCAAAAACCATTTGCCACAAGAATTTGGCCCCACGGGAGCAGAGAGTTAAAGATCAAGCAACTCTCAATCTGTAGACTCAGACACAGATGGCCACGGGTCAAGATACCTTCAAATAAATATGTCAAAGCGACACTAACATTTGTGTGTGTGATGCACGGAGGGCATACACTAATGATGCTATAAATCTAGACAGACACCATGAGAACAAGCCAGTAAATAAGACAGCCTAGTCCTTAGTACTAAGGGACCGGCATGATGTCAGCTAAGGTCATCCTAGGAAAAGTACTTGGATATTTGAAAAGGGCAGACCAATTATCAGCAGACAAAAGGTATGTTTCCTGCTGAATTTAAACAAACAAGGTCCTCTTGGGACCTCTACAGCTTGGAAATTAAAATGTTCATTAAAAGTGGAGGAAATGGGAAAGAAATGCAAATGAGCTACTGTTTATTCTCCAGGGTCCATCTCAAAAAGTAAAACAAGACTAACAATCTGCAGCCATGTTAGCGACTTTGTGATGCTGTGTTTAGGCATAGATGTGCTTTATAATGTTAACCATGTTCAGCATTTATTTTGTTAACATGCTAACATTTGCTAATTGGCACCAATGTCTAAGTTTAAAAGTCTATCGTCATATTAAAAACATGTGACCAAATTCAATAAGATTCATCCTGAGAGGGACATATATGTCTGTACTGACCAACAGATAAACATTGCCATCAAGTTGAATTATTATTTTGACTCCACTGACCTTCCTCATTCATTCCTGTTCAAATTAAAGACCCTAATCTTTTGAAAATGATTGAACCGAGGTGATTACTTTAGAAAGACATTGAAATATCCTCACCACACACTTGTAGATTTTTTCCTTCTTTTTCAAAATCACAGACAAAAATGACTTGAGATTGAGATGTTCATTGTTTTGACTGGGATAAACTAAAACCCTAATTTAACTTTGGTCACACATGACATTGTTTCCTTCAGCGAAGCCCTGACAAAACAGGCCTGGCAGCTGCTGTCACCCGAAAATAGCGGCAGACTGAGCGACGGGCGGAGAGCAGAGTGACGCTCCCACGTTGTTCACTCTGTTGTGCTGGGCGCGGTGAAAGTAACACACGATCCCGCAGGCACCAGAGTCCACAGGTGTCCAACAGCCTCCTGTCTCTGTCGCAAGGCCACAGGCATGGCGGTAGCATATCAATTACATACAACAACACTGATGTCCTAATCTGAAGCCAAGTGTTAACAGGGAATGTCAAGAAAAGGGCACACAGAGTAAATACTCTGAGTTCCTATATGCTGAGCTATACACTGAGAGAAAAGTGTGATAAGAAAGCACTAAGCTGAAATCAGTCATGAAAAGGACAAGTTCTTCAATCACTTCTGAATGGCACATTGGACATTTCTGTTGTGCCAGAAGAGACAGCAAGTCCCCAGTAAAGTGTTTACTCTTTCTCTCCCTCATCAGGCAAAAAGCTTTTCCATGTAGTGGCGCAAATGCCGCTGCACGACCGAGCCCCACAGAGGAATATGAGGTGAGTTTGTCCGACAGATGAAAGTGCCCTTCTGGCCCACCTATAAATCTACTCAGAGCTCCTTCCTCCCCCTGAGGCTGCTACCGGGTGACATCAAATCTAGAGAGCGGCCGAGACATCCAATAGGACTCCCTCCACATGTTGACCTCAGTAATCCTAGACGACTCTGAATCTGCAGCACTCTTTGTTTGGCAGCTGGTAAAGATGAGGTAGAGGTTACTTAGCAGACACCTCTCGCAAACAATTTATAATTTAATGATACATGTATAACAGTTTTTTCTCTCATTTGTACATATGTGAATATTGTATTTGTCTGTTTAGTTTGTTTGTGATTACAGTTGAAATTATTTCCATGATGTTCTATTGGCCAGGTCACTGTTAAAAAAAAATTCTTACATTTACCTTGGCTTTAAATAGAAAATATACGGTACAGTGGTGACGCAACCAATCAAACAAATGGGGATAAGGAAAACACCTTGGAACATCTAGTGTCTGATGTTGCATCACTTTCCATGTCGCAGAGGGGTTAGTGTTAGGGTTGGACTAAATAAAATAAACACAACACCATTAAGTGTGGCTCATAGTTTACTGGCAGACTCAGTGGCAACAATAATATACATCACCCAATGCATGATGGGAACTCTTAGGGCCAAAACCAAAACATATTTACTTCAAATGAAAGTAGGAAAAAAGGAAGAACCACAGGACATTCTTGTTTTTTTTATAACCAATACTATCGGTTTAAAATGGAAGGTACCATTAATTAGATTTTTCAGATAAAAAGAAAACTCTACATGTATATCATGTACAGATATTTGCTGTGTATTGAAAACCTTTGGACAAAAAGGGAATAAAACCCAAGTTATTTGGAATTGAATACTTTTTCTTTCATGAAAAGAATCCCCAATATGTATGGATCCACTCACATACAGTGTGAAAAGATAGCATTGCTAAGTAGCCTAACCTATCCAGGCATGTGGTGTCAGAAGAGACAACTCGTCCAAATCTCACAAAAAATCACCGAAGCTGTTCCACCTGTGACTGAGATTGGGTTTATGGGGTGCAAACTGAACGGTGCCAGAGGGCAGCTCTGAGCTTCCATTTATAGAAAGCCTTTCTTCTGGCCAGAATAATAGCTTTGCGACATCCCAGGACCCCCGTGGACCTCCAGAAGCGAGCGCATGTGGGCTAAATGTCACTCAGCAGGATCCCATCATTTAAGCAAAATCACATTTTCCCCCAGAATACTCTAACCTTAGACGCTCCATCACACACACCCCGTCCTGCAATTCCTCCATGAGAACATCCTTGAGGAGAGTGTGACTGGATCAGGAAATAGACCCATGACATTACAGGAGAGCCGCTGGGTTTCTTGGCGCACGTACAATCTGCTGCCACCTGTTCAGCCCCTAAAGCCAGGTCTGTTTGTTTTGACGTGAGCAAACAGTAATAGGATGACATATTTCACAAATAGGGAGGGTGGTCTTGTATGATGTGAAAATGACCAGGGGGGAGGGGAAATGTAATAATGCTTAAAGAGACAGATGGGATCCTAACGTGTCCCCAATCTGGGGGAAACCATATCCTCACTTACTGTTGTTCAGAAATTAGAGAATAAACACGGGGCTCGCCTTTTTATGTGAGTGCACATGGAGCGCGGATCTCCAGCAGATAAACCTTTACAGACTTAAAGGTCATCAGGAAGTGTCCTCCCTGCTAATCAAATAGCCCTAAAGGCGAGGTTTGATCTTTTACAATCTGCTGAGATGGAAAGCCAGCCAGGCAAATGAACATCAGGCCGCTGGGTCTACGACAGGCTGCCTGCACCTGTTTATCACTCAACATCCAACAGAGGTAAACAGCTCGGCAGGCAGCGAGAATAACATTTGGTTAACACATGTAATTCTGCAATTGCTCGGGGTAAACCTTAACATTTCAGTTTGAAAAGCCAGATTACAAGAGGCGAGAGACATTTATTTAATGCAATATAACTAAGAAGCTAAAGAAAGGTTTGTGTCATGTTCTTTGTCACATGTCGCACCCTGAGTTAATTAAATGGAAACCTGAAATGCATGATTTACGAGTATATTTTTTTCATCGCGTAATGTTTTTCAACTGGTGATTTCACACCGGAAAGCATTTCAGGTCTCGCAAGTGCAAACAATCCTGCAGTCATCAAGGAGCTGTCTCAATGTGTCTTTAAGGGGAATATTTATCCCTCCTTGACTGCATAAAGATTTACACCTTTTTAACCAGGTTTAATTGGTCAAAATACATTTTGCTTGGATGAACATGGACAAAGTGTAAAAACAACATGCCACCCTCTACTGGACTTAATTAATGAAAAATATGTGTATCAAACAGGTGGACATTAATATCCTGGAGTAAAAATCTGTTTTAGAATATTTCAAGAGAAACTGGCTGCCTGTTTTGAACAACAACGTGGGTGAGGATGTGGGAATAACAGCTCAACAAACACACACAGCTAGATGCATGAAATAAAAACACACACTCAATCTCACACACACACACACATGCTGCTATTCACTAAAACTAACCCATTATCTTACTCCCTGGTAAACTTCCCTCTCAGATTACCTGTAAATAGGCTTTGATATGCCCCCTAAACAGTCTGACATAGAAATCACACACATCTGCCGTGTTAAGGTAAGCTGCAGTTGCCATGGTTACAGACGTGCGCTCGCTAAACAGTTCTGTGTCAAGCCATCATTGAGACGGGGCACTAGAGCTGCACATTGAGGGGGGCGTTGTTGGTTCAAAGGGAAGAACAAGGAAGCACAGGAAGAGCCGATGTCACGCTTCTATTAGCAATATGCTGCTGTCAGTGTTGAGCATCACTGGCGCCTGGGCTAAGGACGAGAAGAAGACGCCGAGGGGACAACCTGAGATCAGCCTGAGTCATCACCGTTTCATATGATATTTAGAGGAAGATGAAGAAAACGTGCTGTTTTTAGCTCAAACTGCGACAAAAAAAAATGTTCCCGGTATTAATCGCCTCATTGCAGAAAGCTTACACACATCATCCCAAAACAACTAAGACATGTTTCATTTCCCTGGGTTTAAAAAAAAAAAAGATGGACATTTATCAGACAAACATGATGCATATATGACTAAAGCACTATAAACTGTTTGTCACAGTGAGAGATCTTTAAACATAATAGGTTGAATCTACAACTTAAGGGTTTGATGCTCATCATATCCTTCCTTGTTTGTCCAACAAACATGAATTCATATAAAATGTCACATTAAGCCATTATGCTTGAATGTGGCTGCCAACCCAGAATTCATGATTAACAACATCCACATACTGAGCCAAATGGAGACGTTGCACCCCGTTTAGAGGGGTGGGTGAAAGTGGGTTCAGACCCGAGCACTGCGGCAAGCCTTTGCATGGTTTCTCCCACTCGTGCCTTTTACATTTCATCACTCCTCAGACCTACTTTGCCTTGCCAAGCACTCACCTCCAAATCATCAAACACTGTTTTAATATAAGAAGCAAAGAGGATAGCAGAATGTCCATCATAATGAAACTGTGCCATTGGGGGGGACAACATAATAAGGATCTGGGGCCGTATTCACAAAGGATTTTAGGGCTAAAAGTAGCTCCTAACTGGCGAATTTAGGAGAAACTCCTAAGCATAATGGGCGTGCTGACACGCCCATTATGCTTAGGAGTTTCTCCTAAATTCGCCAGTTAGGAGCTACTTTTAGCCCTAAAATCCTTTGTGAATACGGCCCCAGATCCTTATTATGTNGAAATTAAAGGACGGCACAAGTGGAAACAATTCACAAAGGGATTAAACTGTTTCAAACACATGCTCAAAGTAAGCCGGATTTTTTTTACATCGATGTGTTTATGTGGATTCAAAAGTCGTAAATCTACAAAATGGAGGAGTCTGATCTGAGCAACTGTGACAAATAATCCAACTGAAACCGGCATGGAAAATGCGCTTATCCAGACAAGCCCGGTTTGGAAACTTTACGGGCAGAAGAAACATTTCTATAGAAAGAATTCTACATTTCTGTTTTTTTATGCCTTTTATTAGCTATAACTTGAATTGTTATTCAAATTAATTAATCAATTATTTTTTATATTTTATTGTTATGTAGAGACAAGGCTTTTAGTGACAATCATGTATTGCCTTACAATTATATGTTAAAAAAAAAAAGAAAAAGTCTAAATATGATATTTGGCCTCAAATCATCTGAGGCCTGGCGCCCCCCCTGTGATCTTTGGCGACCCCCCAAGGGGGGTGCGCCCCCCAGGTTGGGAACCACTGGTCTAGTTGAACACATGTGAGTGTCCAGCAGTGCTGGAGGTAATCTGAGGTTTTTGGAGCACAGTGTCTCTGTGGTCTTTTTATGAGATAAAGTTTTGGAATCTGGAGCAGCAGCAAGTCTGACACACCGACTGTCCGGCTGATTAATGACTCTATGGAAGGAGGAGATTTATAGGGAACTTTGGAAATGAGCACATACTGCTGCCAATCCTTTCCAACAGCAAGAGGTCGCCTTCACAACTCTGCACATGAGCCACAACAACCAGCGCTGTAATTGTGACCTGTAATAAATCTAAGTATCTTGTCGTGTGAAGGAGCTGCAAGATGTCCAGCACTGAAATACATTTGCTACTCAGTCTTGTTTCTCCATGAGAACATACATTTTTTTTTTTATAGACCTGATATTGTTATTATATATTAAATGTAATCATGGTCTTAATGCAATTCAAACATTACATTTCTCACAATGATCTGACATTTTACAGCCTTCAGATTTAAAAGGAACTTACATTTGTTTGCACATGAAAGTCTTGGGGACTGTATATGCGAAATAAGTTTTATAAAGCCTTATAAGGCTCCAGAGAGAGCTGAATCTGAAATCTGAGACATTGCCTCAAGAGACGACACTTCAGGCAGCATCAGTTAGAGCCATAATATAAAAAGACTCTGGGTGTGTAAAGAAGTGTTGTCCCATTTCTGCCTGAGGCTATAAGCTGAAGACTACATTTCTAAAAATTCTCTGTATTTCCTAATGTAGGTGCCAGGTTTGCAAGGAAGATGGTGGCAGATGTAATGCAATATAATAATTACTTGATATACAATAACAATTGCTAGGTGCAGTGCTAGAAGTTCATATATAAAAAGCTAAATTTAAACCTAATCTGACAGAAATGCCTAACACTTCTGATGTAAATCTCCCCCCCCCCCCTCACTGTGTTGCAGGCGTTGTCCAAGGAGGCAGCGTCTCCTACATTTGCACTCAGGTCCTGACCATCGTGGAGCAGGAGCAGAGTAAAGTACTGTGGATTCCAGGTGGAGCACCGTAGTCTCGACTGTCACTGCACGTCACTCCGAGCAGAAGAGAAGGGGTGTTTTTTTATTATGGGGTACACGGTGAATCGGTACAGCTAACATGGTTAACTCCAATGCTTTTTCACATATAGCAATATGAGCACTGATGATCATGTCATATTCCCACTACAATAGTGATGTACTGTACTACAGATAGATTTGTTTACACTAGTATTTAATACTTGAATGTTTTATTTTCCCTTACATCTAGTAGCACTCCTTTTAATCCCACTTTGTCCCATGAATATGTCGGACCACAGGAAGTATGCATCGATGAAAAATGAAGACTTTATTCTTGAAGTGAAGATAAGAGTGGACCACTGTGTTCCCGTCTCTATATTTATACATATTTTCCTGCCATTTAATTTATCTAATCAAAGATGTTGGTTATGAACTTTTGTTATACAAATGTAGTTGTTTAGTTAATAGGAAGGATGATATTTTCCAATTGATGTTCTTATTTATCGAGAAATTGAGGCAAATTTGCTTGAATTGGAACTGCAGTCTTGTTATATTTGGCTCTCTGGTGGCATATTCTTTTTTCCATTCATCATTTCAGTCCAAAAAGTAATGTTGTGCCAAGCTAAACATATTTGCTACTCACCATCCATTGTTGGATTTGTTAACACTACAACTTTTATTACACAGCAGGTATTTTCTTAGCACCACAGTTTGTCCCAGTTTGTTTTCTACTGGTATTGCCAATACCGTTCCTCTTTGTCAAGTGGATTTTAAAGAAGGGATATTTTATTTGTGGTTCATGGTTGGCTGTCAACTTTACACATTTACATACACCTCTTGGATTTTTCACGTTTTCAGCATTTCATGTTCAAGTTGGATGAAACACTTTAGGTCTTCTCCTCATGAAGGTTAATACTTCTATAAAATATTAAAAACAGAGTACATTTATTGGAATGCAAGTGGTCTGTGTTTTCCATTTAAATATTGTGTGGGTGGGTAACCATTTTTATCATTTGTATAGTTTTATTCTAGCTTTTGGTAGATTTAACAGGTTTATGATAGTTTGGACCTCGACGATCAATTCTCCTTTTATCCACTAGGGTGAGTAAACTGCCACTGTTGAAGGAGATGCCACTGTTTAATCACTTGTTTAATAACAGTCTGTGGATATAGTTTCACATTGTTTATATTCTAAATTGATGAACAGATGTGATTCTCCTTTTTTAATGTTAGAGCTGACCACCGTTGGATATGCTCCTGCCTTGAAGTATTAAGTTAATATGCTACTTTTAATGAGGATGTGTTCCTTAATACACAATTGTGTGTTGATCCTCTGCTACAAATCGGTTGTAGTTCTGTTAACAGTTCTTCTGGTAAATTCGTCCATTTAGAACAACGAAAACGAGGTAAAAGAGTCATGGTGTCATTCGTTTTACAAACTGAAAGTCCCCACTAATACTTTCAAAGCAACAAGGCTGTAACCACTCATTTCTAATCATGAAAAATGTATGAAGCGGTCACTATAAATAACAGACATCCAGATAAGCATCGACGTCTGCTACTGATGGCTCCTCCCCACTACCTGTAAATCTGCGATGCCATCTCCCGACAAATGGATGTGACAGGCGGCAGCAGGAGCCCGGAGAGCGACAATGACTATTTCCGCTGCTCAATACAAGAAACCCTCGTTGTTTCAACCGATTTACATTAAAGGATATCGATAAACAGCGACCTTTCTAACGCGAGGAGGAGCGCATTCAACAGTGCGCGGTGCGTAGCTCAAGTAGCGGACCTGCTGAAAGCTGCGCTGCTGAATAAGGTGGAGTGAGTGGATCCATCGCCTGGCAGGGAAAGCGTCTCGCTTTTATATCATAGTTGTGCTTATTCAGTTTTATCCATCGGGACAGTAAGGGAAATTGTGAATTTTTACGGTGTTTCGCAAGAAAATTGGATTTTTACGCACTGATCAAACCGCAATTCCAGCTATGAACGCGCATAGTGAGGCGCACATCTGATATCCTGATTTCAAAAGAAGTTTTTATTACTGTGCTTGTGTCTGCTATCGACTCAACTTTTACGGCATTGCTTGGTGAAGGCAGATGAAAAGGCAGAGGAGCGGAAGGTGGTTGACTTAACATGGCTGAGCCGCTGGGGCATCAGTGGGCGCTGGCTGGAGCTCCGAAGAGCGCCTGAATCCCGGTTGAGTGGATTGTTGGGGGGCTGGCAGGTGGCCAGTGGCCCATAATGTCCAAGAGGGAGAAATTCAACCAGGATCCTTCAATCCAAATCTCCAAGATGAATGTCATCATCCCCTTCTCACCAGATGTGCCCTGTGACAGCAACGGCCAGCGGATGTGGTGGGCTTTCCTCGCCTCCTCCATGGTCACTTTCTTTGGGGGTCTCTTCATAATCCTGCTGTGGAGAACTCTCAAATACCTGTGGACTGTGTGCTGCCACTGTAACGCCAAAAAGAAGGTACGCCAGGTCATTTCATAAACCACCACACCCCAACAAAATGACTACATTATAAGCCTATGTGTTGTGTACAACAGCCTGTGCGTGACACCAATGTGTCCAGCCAGTTTAATGAAACGGGCTCGTAATTAAATATGTGTCAAGGCCCAATCAGTATATGCATGAATAATCAACTGCTACTCCCAGTTTAATGTGTCATAGTAACAAATAGACACAATTTTACTAGTTGAGTTTACTGAGCAACATCTTTATAAGTGCAGCTGACACTTGTTGGTGTACCACTCTCTATTTCTTCCATCAGGTTGATTGGAAAATTATTACATAAGCACGATACAACATTAAATTATTATAAACTGTTTTTTGTCCTTATGTAACTGAAGGGTTTGATATTTGGCTATACAAATGGTCTTTTGTTTGAATTTAAAAGCTCCCTCTGTACAAAATGCATCATAGCAGATTAAAAGTATTCAGTGGGGATTTAATAATTCTTCTTAAATCTCAGTACTTTTAAGAAATCCTTTTTAAAGCATATTTTCAGATTTGGGATTATCTGGAACATTTTAAAGGGTTGGTTCACCCAAATAAAAACAAACAAGCACATATTTCCCCAACTAATATCTCCTCTTGCATTAATTATTGCAAACTATTTAGATTTTCTTTACCCAGGTTTTGAGATATTTCCCTCTTGAGATTTCTACCTCCCCTTCAGTATACCCGGGGAACACAAAATGTCATTAGTGCTGCTGTAAGCAGTAAAAATAACAAATTACAAAAATCAATGAGCTGTTTTTAAAGAAACACTTTTCCTGTTATTCAGGATAACCAGAAGACCATCTGTGAACATTTTGTCCTGGAACTATTTTAATTAGTTCCTATGAAAACGTATCACTGTTTGTTCTGTGTAGTAACAGGGACAATGTCTGGAATGAGCCGTTTCTGTTGAATCTTAATGTAATGTTACAATTCTGTCATCACAAAGCAAATCCCATTCACAGCACCATTATAGGGGATGGATACACATTTAATTCAGTAGTTTGGAAGAACTCACCCTTTTTAAGATTTAAAAAAAATGTGAATCAGAAACGATACGATTTTAAAGGTTGAAAAGTTAGATACTTTCATGACCATGAATGGTTGTCACACAAAGCATAGTTTCCCATGGTATATGTCCCCATCAATTTAGTTTGAGTTCTTGCTGCTTGAAAGCCTCAAGGGAATCATGCAGCACCATTTGTTTGACACAAATAGTCAGAATAGTTTTGCCCATTCAGGAAACACAGAGCACATCAGCTGTCATACATTGTTGGACGGCCAACAGACATTCTCATATCTGTGTGGAGGCTAACTCTCCTGCCACACTGTAATCCCCATAAATCATTTTCATAACATTTAAGGCACACTGCCACTAGATTTTCTGTTTCACAATAGTCCCTACCCCATCTGCCCTAAGCCGGCTGCAGTCCAGCATTTGGAAAACACATATCTGGAATGTTTATCGGCCTCTACCTGTATCTTAAAGTTTGTATCCTTCCTCGTATAAAGGACAAAGATGGACAAGCTGATAACATACGCCAGAGATAGAGCAGTTTATCTTTTGACCTGATGTGTGTGCATTCATCTCTCAAAAAGGGAGGGTGGACAAGGGAAAATGGCAAAGGCTGCATGCAGGGTGGTGCTGACCTTTTGAAGGGAGACGTGTCGTTTATGTGCTTTGGTTGAAGCTGGTAACAATTAGGGCCGCAACTAATGGCGACTTTCATCAGTGATTGATCTGCTGTTATGCTTTTGGTTATTAGTTCATTGCTTAGCCTCATCACAAGCTCCCAGAGCCAAAGGTAATGTCCTTAGATAGCTTTTTTACCCTAACACAAATTCCAAACGCATGATAAACAAGATGATTTGATAAACTGAGAAATAAGCAGCACATCTTCACATTCGAGAAGCTTTTTTTTTTTACTTATATAGATGACTGAAAGCTAATATTGATTTGAGAAGATTTTCAGCTCTGTTCAAATATTTGGAAAAATCCATCGGCGTTATCCAAGTTGTATTAATACATGTGCAGAAATATCTCAGTGAAAACAGGATCAGAATGAGGCTGTTGCTTTCAGAGTCCACAGTCGAACACCCTCAAATGTGAATACAAGAGCACATTCAGATTTATTGTTTTTGCTCAGACTGTGCCAAGTGAAGCTGGTGACTCCACCAACCTGTTGTGCTCCTCTGTGGGAGTCAGCCAGGGATGGGTCATCCTTTCACTGCAAATCTTCCCCTCTGCTTTTTCTCTCCTGGCATTCATTTGGTAACTAAACCCTGTCTTCTTCTCACCTTCTTTTTCTCATCGAAAAATCAACCTTCCTCCAAAGTGTCAGAAATGCAGTGTCAGGCGCATACGGTATGTGCCATATGAATCAGTGTTTTTGTTGCTAAGCAACTAGCAAGCAAAGGATTTCATTATAAGAGTAAATCTCGCTCTTATGCAGTTGTCTAGGCTGTGAGATGTGGCAGGTTGTGTTGGAGGAACACCTCCCCACCCCCCCCCGGTCTGTGCATGTCACTAACAGCCCAAACATGGAGCCTTCAGCGGAGCACACATTGTTTTCGTTCATAGATGGGAGGTGATAATCAGTTTCCTCCTTTTCTGTTTTCCATTTTGTTTTCCCTCTCTGTGGGGCGTTCGCTGCCCCCGTTCTGCTCTCTTCTAACTTCTCACAGCTCTCATGTCTCTGAGACTGAGCCTGTTTCTCTGTGGCTCTGCCTCCCCAGTCAGACGGTAATCGATGAAACTCGTCGTTTGCGGGGTTCTGATGGATGCTGGCTATTATCTGTCTGGGAGGAAGGAGGAAACTGTTCATTGTAAATGGCACGGTACTTACGGAGGGGGGATGACAAGCTGTGGCAGCTTCTCACTCATTCCTCTGACTCACAGTCAGCAAGTTTTGTTGAAGGAATCGGTTTTATTGTTGGTTCAATATTTGTTCAAAAGAGCCGCTGGAGGTTTCAGACACCATATATCCAGCGGTGGATGTGTACGTAGAGTATATGTGCCACTGGCTGTTGTTTGTTCAAGGTATTGAAAAAGGCCTCTCAACTATTTTCAGCCTCTAGGTTCTGGCAATGTCAGCTGATCGACTACTTTAATCCAGCCAGAACAACTTTTTAGATGAATTGCTGCTAAATTTGCTTAAAAAATTCATCTTTCCCAAGGGGATGTATTGAATAAATGTTTGAAATTCCCTGAAATGTTCCTCTAGTACCATCATCAGGTAGACATCAAGTGAAATGTCCCGACAACTATAACAGTAAAATACTGATATTCATGGTCCTTGGATCAAATGTATATTGTTTTCATTTGAATACTCGTTTAATGTATTAATGTTTATTCACATTTTTCCTATTTTCATATATGGGCATGTATTTTGTATGCTGTAGGCATGCTACATTGATAATGTGGGAGTGGTCTCTCTTCTAGAAGCTTTCTACTGCATGATGATATTGTTTGATTCATATCTAAAAAGGCACGTTATGCATCGCTCACTCTGAGAGCCATGTGCATCTTGTTGCAGTGACTCAGTGTCCTTAGATGTGTCAGGTGATGGGTGGAGGATGATTGGAGGATTCACATATAGTCATCTCTCACGCTGCTTTGAAGTGCCATCTGAAATATTGTAATTATGAGATGAGTGCTCAGGATCGAACAGTGGTAATTACGAGTCAGAAAGTTGGAATAGCTGAGAGGCACTTTACTGTGTGTCTCTCACACACAAAGACATACACACACACAAAATGGCAACAAGTCAAGAAGGGTGAATATACATGCTGCACAGAATTAACTACACCAGCTATCATAGATACTTTTTTTTAACTAGAGCATTCTGGCACTCTGCTGCACTACTTAATACAAAATACAAGAGCCTGATTTAGCTAGTGTCCATTTAACTTTATTTGCAGGCAGGAGAGCTTTAACACATTATACTTCAATATGAGTTTATAAGAAACGGCACTTGAAGGGGGCATCATTTATTTAACGTGCAGACCTCTGATCCTTCAACAATATCTCTGCAATGAAGCTTGTCAGTCCTCCTTGTAAAGAAAGCATACATATTCCATGTTAAGTCCTTTTCATATTTGCAGTGTAATTAGTATGGCTAGTATTAGCTACTGATATTGCATAATATACAGCATGCTGCAGCTTGGCTGTCATTGCACTATCTGGGATCCAACAGGTCTCAGATTATCGCAAACGTTAAAAAACCCATCAGTGCCAGAGACTGCTCTGCTCATTCAGTAAGACAATACATGCAGTTGATTATGATATAAAACAAGTTTTATATCAAATGTGTATGTCTTTTATATAGGTACAATCTTTTGAAAATCTAATTTAACTTAACTTGGACTTTTTTCATTGATTTTTGCAGCAACTTTTAACGCTTTTTGCTGTTTTCAACTATTTCAAATAGTGTGTGTTGATGTTCATAATTTATAATCATGTAGATTTTCACCTTTTCCATTTTGTTGCTTTTCATTCAGTAATTCAATGAATGGAAAGACTTGGAGGCAAGTGCAATATTAAAGGTCACCTATTATCTAAAATCCACTTTTTCATGTATTTTATACATAAACATGTGTCCCCTCTGTGTAAAGAGATTCTGAAAGTTTCAGGAAAAAAGATTCACTCACTTTTTGTCCTGATCAATTTATATAAAAACCTGTCTGAAAATCAGCTGATCACATTTTGGCCACTTTATGATGGCATTAGCCAATAACCAACCAAGGTAACCCCCCCCCCACCTTATCACCTGAATCTCCTCCTAGAGCACCATTGTGTTCTTTGTAATCAAATATCTCTCAGAGGGGCGTGGGGAGTGGCTCCTTATTTCCATCTGAAGTAACAGACAGAGAATCAGCATTTCTGAACGATCTTTGGGATTATGGGATGTTACAATGCATGATCTGTTTGGTATTTCGAGCCAAACACTTCAGAGACATGTTTTGTATATATCTGAGACCTATAATATATTGATGAACAACAGTATAATAGGGGACCTTTTAAATACTGTCTTTCTTCACACAGCGGCCGGGCCATAGATCGGATATAAGATATCTTAGGAATTATTTCCTTCTCTGACAACCTCTTGATTTATTATTAATTAGATTTTTTTATTAATATATTTTTAAATAATGTATTCACTTTTGCAGATATTGTGTCACAAGCCACATGTTCTATTCTAACTTAATGTACGTTCTGTTTGAAAAATGGTAATTGCGTATCCTGAGAATAGGCCAGCAGTGGTGATCAATGACCTCTGGTGTCAGGGGGACTAGATTTAGGACAGATTGTGAAACCTATATTTGGAGGCTGACTATTGATCAAAGTGACACAGAGGGGATGTGCTGCCTGAAAGGGCGTAATGACTACTTTCTCTTGGGTGTCCTGCTATTAAAAATTAAGCCCATCTATTTTCATCTACTTCAAATAGAGATCAGTGGAGTGAATGTGTAGAAAAGGAACTACAACTTTTTATAGGAGTCGTTATACCCCTCTTGATTTCAGCTGAATTACAGCTTTTCTTAGAGGAAGTGATTACATTGATTAGATAGATTTAAATGTAAAAAACACAGCACTTCATCTTCAAACTGAAGGTACCTTCCTGCAATCTAACCTTAAGGTGACCCCGACCCTTTTTAAGAATAATTGGACTGAAGCATGCCATGAAGATCGAATCATTTATCTTTTGATCTTTGGAAAATATCATGGTCGATGTGTTCTCAGTGTACAGTTTTTAAAATTGGTCATTAATGTGCCAGGAGACGACAGCGTGGCGCCAATTAGGCCTCCTTCAAGGTTTCCCTCCAAACATCCTGTGTATGAAACAGGGGAATGCTTTGTTGGATAAAATACCAAGTCCAGTTTTTCATAGTTGTGTTGAAAAGCCAGAGAAGACTTTGTATGAGTTGTGGTATTAGTGCAAGTGTTTTGGAGAGAAAACAAAGAATCCTAAACACTTTTGGAGCCAACCATTAAATAATTAGTTTACCAATATTATATAAAATACTTTCACATTACACAATGGGATTTAAATGTCTTATTAGATGATAAAGCCTATTGAAAAAAAATATTAAAATAAATACAAATAAGAAACACTAAAATCAAGGAAAAATAAGAAATCTATATCAACAGGAAGAATGTCTCTGAACAAAAACGTAGATACATAACCCCCATCTCCACCAAGACTAAATTAATTACTGTATAAAGAGTTTTAATTATCATTTGAGTTAAACATTTGATTGGTTGGAAATGTTTCTGAAGTCCTCAACCACAAATCCTCTGGAAAAAATACTATTTCCCCATCTTTTGTAGAAACACTTGCTCCGTCATCTGAGAAAAACGAAATGTTTCCACTAAGCTGCGTCTCATTTCATTAAGTGGCTTATTTTACCAATTTGAATTTCATGGCCATAAATATAACGAGCCTAAACGCTCAATTTGTTATTGATTTTGACTACTCCATGAATGCATAAGAGGATGCAATATATTATTATTGAGCAGAGTGCATATCAACCAGTACTGAAATGTTTTCATTATTAAATGAGCAATCCTAAGCACTAGTCATCCTACTTTATTATTCCTTTAATATCCAGTGACTTACCCCATATATGTTTAGTGTGGGACACAGTGTAACATAACTGCTGCCAAAGGGCCTGTTTTACCACTTTATTAGAGGGAAAGATGCCACACTCTTGAGTGCAATTCACAAATAAACAATAGAAAACACTGCCTGAAAACAGCTGACACCTGTTGCCTCTCGTTTCTTAATTGCAGTTTCACAGAATCTTCCATTTCTGTTTCTTGTTGGTAGCATTAGCTGCTAAGTGAGCTGGACATGTTATTTCACTGTGATCAGGTTAGTGCTGTAGGACGTGTAACACGGTCTGCTGGTGGTCCTGCTTCTCTCTGACTAATGGCTCTGAACGTGATTACATTTCTTAGTGCAGCCAGCTAATAATAATGGAGACGGTTGAAATGTGTGGCGTGTGGGTGGGCACCATTATTGTAAACGATGCTGACACATTTTCTTATATCAAAAGCTGTAAAGTACATACTAGTATACGAGTACTGTTTCCATTGAAGACTTGATCATTTTGTCTCAACTATATTTCTGAGGGGAAGAAGTTAACTTTTACTCCAGTACATTAGCTAATTATATCATGCTCTATGCAGGCAGTAATCGTCATGCATTATTCTGTAAAATCAAAGATAAGAGCCATACCGTTGCACAAGGCGATATGTGGACTGAGAGCTGTGAATGTTTAAAATAATGACTGTAACTTTTGGTTTTAGTCTTCTCATGAAATGCCGTGCCAATCACAAACAATTTAGAATATCTTTTCAGATTTACGTTTCTTACCTACCTTTCTTTCTAAACATGACTGCTGGCAAACAGATGCCCTGTATTCTCAGACCATTAATTCATTAATTGCCTTATTACAGTGGTGCGTCAGCCCCCTTCAGCAAAACAAAGATTTCTGGTGGATTGGAAGCGCGCGCAACACATGTTGTAACTTTTTTGTTGTAACTTTGAAACATGAAAGGGCATCGACTTCTCCCACGTGACAAGCAGTGCTGCCTCCGAGAGAGAGATGTGTGACAACATTAAGGTGCAGGAGGGTAAAGAGTCTGAGTCGTGTTAGCCTCGTGGATGTGGGGTGTTTCATCAGGGAGCAGGGCTAACCCCTGCATCCTGTCTCGATTTCCTGCTCTGTGAATCATGCCAGTCCCAGCAGACAGACACACAGAGGCAGACAGACAGGTGGATAGACAGACAGGCAGGCAGGAAGCCAGGCAGCCCACTCAGTGGAGCGGAAACACCAGGAGCTCAGCGGCTGCCATGGATACACTCCTGGAGTCTCTGCTCCGCTCACTCTGTATGTTTACTGTATGCATGTGTGCATGCATGTGCGTGGGATAATTTTGGAAGCATGGAGCCTGGTCACTAAAGTAAGAAGGAGCTGAGATTTTTGGGTATTGAGCAGTTGCTCATGTTGTTTTTTTACAAAGCTGTCAATCAAACAAAACACGAAGGTAGTACATTTCTATTCACAAGGTTCATTTGTACTCTGCTACTTTATGTCAGAAATTCAGTAATTAACAATAAATTAAATAGAAATTATGAATATGGCCAGTTAGTGCTCCTAACTGGCCCAGACCCACATCATGTTGGCTTTTAAGGGTTTGAGTGTCGTTCAGCTCCTTGTTTTGATTTGACATAACTTTTTTTTCACATGCAAATGTAACATTTGAGGCATTTTTTGTTTAAAGCTTCACTAACCAAACTCATAGCACTGATTAGGTTCAACAATTAATTTTAAATTTAAAATATAATGGAAATGTGGCTGTTATAAACTACAGGGAAAACAATAACATTGTGAACAGAGTGATAGAGTATTTAGCAGCTAAAGAGCCAGATACTTTTTTAAGAGTTGATGGAGTCCAAAATAGAAGTAAAAGGAGAATGATTACTGGACTCACATTTATCAAGTGTCTGGAAACATTACTCCAAATAATTGTAATGATGCTCCATGTATGCTAACACGTTAGCCATAAGGTGATATTAATATAAGTCATAATGCTATCTGCTACTTGCTTCCTGCTAAGAAAAGAAGTGTGGCTTCTTTCATTTCAATATTGCACTCACCGTTGTAACATGTGCGAACTGAAAAAACATTTTGAGTTAGAGCAATCAGTTACATAACATGTTATTTAGTCAATGCACTCTGGCTCCTATAGACACAGGCTATTGCTTTCAATTTCACTTGGATAACATTTCAAGCTGTTGTCACACACAGGACTCAATGCTTCTGCATTTGTGGACATCTCCAACATAATAAGACAATAACCTTTACTATAACACCTATTCTGCCATGGGCCTCTACAGAACGTAATGTTTCCTTCTGTCTTTATTTGTCTTCACGATGGGACCTGGATGCGTGATGGGCAGCATCTTGGTTGTTGATAAAAAGTAGGAAAATAAAACATTTATCTTGCAACACACTGCCATTGTGGAAGCACTCGTCTTTTTCTGTGGTAGAGGAGATCCCCAAGAAAAATACTGGGAATGATCCACCGGAATATGAGAAAAGGCCGTTGTATGTACTGTAGTTTATTGTATAAGCAAGATACTATTCAATGCTAATATTAACATTTATTTTGAAGATAGTGATTGTTTGATTTGCAGACTTTCTAAATAAATCATTTCTTGTCTCTGCATCACATGTTTCACTGCTAACTTCTGCATCCCCTCTCCTCCCAGACGGTCCATCGGATCACCACAGGCGATGGCATCAAGCGCGTTGATAAGGAAGACCCGGCGGCCAGCGAGGTGGGCTGGATGACCTCGGTCAAAGACTGGGCCGGGGTCATGATATCAGCTCAGACACTGACAGGAAGAGTCCTGGTGAGTTCACACTCAACATTTTTCTTTACAATGAATAGAAGGCTTATATTTACTTCCAAACTGAATTAAACCTTGCACAAAATGTAATTATATTGAAAATCAAAATTGTGTTGAACCTCCTCATACTTTGTAAAAGGGTCTTGTGAAAATGATTTGTTGTGTAGAAACTTTGCTAAGTAGAAACTTGCGTCTTGCATCAACTATTTAGCTTGAATGTCCCTGGGATTTATTACTGCTTGGCTAACGCATAAATATAGGCAATTGTTTTGAAGTGCATATCTTGGCAGCTTATCTCTCAGACTGAGAGGCAGACACATCAAAACAAAGCCAGGGCAAAAAAAGAGGAGATTTAAGAAGTGAATTAAGGTCATACCACCCCGTAATGCCCTCAGACAGCAGCAGAGAGAAAGTGATCCAGATGTCTGCAGGAGGGAGGGACATGTACAGTTTACCCATAGCATTTGGTCAGCGGTTACCATGGAGCCTGGTGTGTCTGTTGACAGCGTCAAGTGGAGAGCAAATGCCTCTCCGACTATATTATATACTTCCATATCAGGGGCCGTATTCACAAAGCATTTTATCTTACCGCTAGGAGTGCTCCTAACTCGCGCTAAAACATTTTACGTAGGAGTCTTTTCTTAAAAGTTATTCACAAAGCCGCTGAGACCTACTCATACTAAGGATAAATCACTAAGAGTGACGCGCCGTTGCTATGGATGACGTCGATTCTCGTGCATGAGTTTAGAAGCGGTCAGTACGGTGATTGGTTGTTCAGAGTAGGCGGTCTCGGTGAAACTCATCCGCAACATCCCACAAACGAGCCCACTAAATCACCGAAAAACAAGGAAATAGCCTAGGCTATAAATGTATTCCTATCCAATAGTTATGGACAGTGCAGTTAGCAGAATACACGCATGATGACAAGTTTGTGCAGACCACGATAATGACGTTGTATATGCACGTTAAAGAGAGAGAGCAAACAATAAAAATACGTAAATTGCATTAAATCGAGGAGGCAATTAAAAGCACCCTGCAAACTATTATCCAATGAGCATATTTCCAGCACTTAAACACTTTCAATAACAGCCCATACCGCCATTCAAGTCCCCCTATCATGATGAATGAAAACAATCTGCGTGTTGATGGAATGTACTTTCTTTCTATTGACGAACACGTCCTCATCTTTTGATGGCGCAATTATTTTTATGTGCGTCCCGTCAATAGCACCGACCACGCCGGGCATACCTGCATTGCCATGAAGTTGGCTTTGATCCTGTGTAGTTGTTGATTGTCCAAAGGAAACCGGATAAACTGTTGGATGATATGTGGTCTAGAGAGCGCGTTGATGGTTTGGTTTATGGCACAGCTGACTGATGGTTGCGATATTCCTAAATCGTCGGCATTGCAAAGTTGCATTTTCCCTGTTGCTAAATATCGTAGTGTTGCCAAACATTTTATTTCCGGACTAATCGGGTTATTCCTGTTAGTCGGGGATGTTATTGCATCCCGCACTAATTCCACAACAAGTTTGATACCCTCACGATTTAGCCTATATCTCTTGATCAATTCACAGTCTTCCATTGTCTCCAAAACATTTCGTCTCTCAGCCATTTTCAGATTCTTTGTGAATAGGTCTTACTGAGTTAGGAGTCCTCTCGAGGACTTTTAAGCTCTCCCAGACTTAGGTGCTACTTTTAGGCCTAAAATACTTTGTGAATTGCTCTTAGTGAATAAAATTAGGAGTCCTAAATTTAAGACTGACACGCCCATTATGCTTAGGAGTTTCTCCTAAATTCGCCAGTTAGGAGCTACTTTTAGCCCTAAAATCCTTTGTGAATACAGCCCCTGATCTAGGGGGTACAACTCTAAAACACCCAAATGAAAAAGATCGGTTTACATTTTAATAATCAAATAAGTATGTGAACATAACCAATAACCCACCATAGCCAATAACAAATAAATGTAACATATTTTATTTTTGTTGTTCATTCATATCTTATTTTACCTAGTTAATAATTATTTATTTATGCATATTTTTGTATCCCTCTGTTTTAAACTATATTTTTGGTTTACTGTCTTATAGTATACATTGAAATGATTTAAAACCTGTTTGTCCCAATAATCATAAAGGAGTGCCTTCGAAATATTTGTTTACATAAATTGTGACCAAACCGTTTGAGACCCACTGAGATAATTTTGACTAAAGTTAACTATCTAAACACTTAGATTTCTTTACCTCACTGAGCTGTAGTATCAGCCTCTCAGTCTGAAAGGAGGGAGCTATCCTCCACCCTTGTTGTAGGAACATCTTCTTCTTATATCCGTTAACGCAGCTAGCACCAGATGCTAATAACAACAGTGCCGGTACCGGTGCGCCCTCTCCCTCCCTCGATCTTAACTCTGTCGTTGGAGTAATACAGCCGGTGTACTACCTTAAATTGGATTAATCAATGTCTAATGCAGAAAGAAGAGGTGTGTATATGTGAAACAATTATTTCCCAGGCTACCTCTGAGATATAATCACCAATATCTCCTTCCCAGGCTTCTTTAGCTTTGTCCCATGTGGAGGGCAGTTATTCAGAATCAATGTATATATTTTGGACACAGCCCCTTTATTAAATGGATTCACGTTAAGAACTGAGTGAGCTAGATGTTGACAAAAACAACAAATACGTGTTATGCCTATCAAAAGACGATCAACAGTACTACATCACGCTATTGTGAATCCTTGTTTCTGGTCGATTATCTTCCTGCCTAGGCCCTGATAGTGAACGGGCAGGGGGACTTGCGGACCAATACAAAACATAACCAAAAAAATGCACACCAAGACGAAGAACGGGACCGACCCCATAACCGGACATGCTGCCGGAAAACCTCCGCTAGAGCTTCAGTTGTGTGGACGTTTGGACGACAGGTCGGTGGAAATACCTTCTTTCGGGCCGTCGGGGACGGTTCGTAAGGGGGGCAAGTCCTCAACGACGACCTTGGCCAAACAACGACACTCGAGATCGAACAATGGCCGTAATACGAAACTATTGAACCGGGGCGGACAAAAACGGAGTGGGGCTACCTAACCACCAACCGGAGGCACGGTTTTTTCCCCCTCTTAGGTCCCAGACCGTGTGGAGGTCTCGTGGGTCCGGGAGATGGGGGTGGGACCTGTACAGGGGACCTTTGGCGGTAATTCGGGTTGGAAGGTTAGGGCGAGGGGAAAACGATCTCATTTGTCTTAAATGAAAGTGCGTCGACGAAGGCCACAGTAGGAACAATGTACACAATTATCAGTTTAAGGGTTTCAATTCATTCTGATAGGTATATAGTAGATTACTTGGGTCACCAGTCAGGTGAATGGGTCCTCTAAAAAAAAAACTGCGAACTTGTGCTAATGTCCTTATAATAACAAAAATACAAGTCTTATTACATTGTAATAAAATCATTTACCAATGGTACCTTGTAAACGGTATTACAAGAAATTGTATTTGGCTACAATAGCAAGAGATTTATTATTGTAAGACCCGTTTTGGGGTATTTTTTTTAGATCATTTTTTCGAAGTCGACTTTTACAAAATTCTCCTATCATCCCGTCATTACACAGATTTGTTCAAAGTTTTTTGTAAAATCTTACAAAAATCTCTTTGCAAATAAGGATGCGAAAGTCTCTCTGTAAGACCCCCTGGGTTTTATTTCAGAAGACCGCTTTTGCAAAATTCTTGTCCAATCCCCGTAATCAAAGTATTTGTTACAATAGTTTTTGTAAAATTCCCTTACACAAAAATCTCTTGCAATAGGATGGAAAGTCTTCTGTAAGACCCTTGTTTTATTTTTCGAAGACCGCTTTTGCAAAATTCTTGTCATCCGTCAATTACAAAGATTGTTCCCCAACAAAAGTTTTGTCAAATTCTTCCAATAGTGTTTGTAAACCAGTTCTACAAAAATCTCTCGCCAAAAGGATGAAGTCTTCTTGTAAGACCTTTGGTTTGTTTTTGAGAGGGCCGACTTTTGCCAAATTCTTATCCTTCGCCCGTACTACAGATTGCTTCAAACATGCGTTGGTTTTGTAAAATTCTTACAACAATTGTCTTGCACCCCCATAGGATCCGGCAAGTCTTCTTGCAAGACCCCTTGGTTTGTTTTCGAAAGGCGACTCTTCTCGCCAGGCCATCTTGTACTACTGACATTTGTAAGAGTTCTTGCAAAATTCTGGTTTTTTAGAGCATCGACACCACCAGTTATAAAAGTTCCTAGAAAAATCCTGCTTTCAAAAACGTAGGAAAACGGTCCCCAAAAGTTTCAACACCCTTCCACTCCGGAGGGGAATCTCTTGTGATTCCTTGTCCGACGGGGGGCGAGGTTAATAATAACGATACATAATAATATTAATAATAATAAAAACAACAACGATATTACGTCCCCAATACCATCCACCATAGGTCACCTTTTCAGGGAATGGATGGACCGGATCAATTTTAGGTTTCCACCAATGAAAACCAAAACCCCCGACCCCTCACAATCCAAAATCGTGGTGGCAGAATACTGAAAGCACTCCTGAACTTTTCCTCGACCAAAAACCCCGGTCTGGTGGGGTGTTGCTTTTTCTTCATCCATATAAATGTGGCATTGCAGTAAGTAGAATTGTCAAACATACGAAGTAACGTCCAGTAGGCAACTCGTCTCGTAAGCTTCAACGTACGGAGAATGTCGACTTTAATGAACCCAATGGCTCCCCCGTCCACCTACCAGCTCACCCTCCAAAAACCCTCCGCTCCCTCATCGTACGGACCCCCGATCGTCCGGCCCTTAGATGGTGTGGCGGCTCTCCTTCAGGTTTTAGGTCGGTCCATTCTAAAGTGATTTGGAACCATAGAGGTCAATGGTAAGACAACCAGTCGTTTTGCGGAGGTGTTTGAAATAGTTCTAGGTTTCAAAATCGAACGCAAACTAAGTTACGCGTCATGTCGGTTGACTCGTCAGAGAAGACAGGTCAAATCTGGCGGTTATGGAGTAAGGAAGGTAAGAATGAACCCCCCAGACTTACGCAGCCAAACGGCGTAAGTTTACCTTTAGCGGCGGTAGTGTAAAGGAGCGAGCGACGTCCCCGCCCCAATGTTCCGAGCGCAAGAACACGACGGTAAGTGAACGTGAGCCTGTAATCCTAAAAGAGAGTATTTACCAAGCTACTCCCAGTTTTCGAAAAAAAGTTTTTTCTTTCGACTCCCGGTTTGGGCCATCTAGCGGGGACGAACTGCGCCATGAACGAAACTAGTTTCAGTTACGCCTTTGGGCGTGAGTGTGTCCATCCGCCTCCCACTTCCCCTTACCTCGTGAAATGTCGCGAAAACCGCTCCACCCCTTTGAGCCCCAGAGGTGTCCTGTCGGTTTCACACGTTCACTGCAAAAGACGGTCCGCGACAGAGGAAAAGTGAAACTCCTATTTCGAATGAGTTTAGCCCCCTAAGGTACACGGCCGAGCGTATTTCAATCGACTTCAATTGATCGATCTAAAGTGACCAAAGGAGCAATAAAAAAAGAGTGCGACCGGAGGGGAACTTCGAGAGACCGGGGGTCCCCCTCGAGCCGGGAGTTGAAACTTTTGAACCGACGAATTGACGGTGAACACATCCCTATGTCTGTATGGTTTTAGAGTGAAAAATCCTATGGAGTCCGAGACAGAAAACGCAGATTTGGTTGAAAGGTCCTAT